GACAAGCCGCAGGCCTCGAAGCAAGCCCATTCTGCAACTCCTGCGATACACAAGCCCAAGTCTATATTGGAGGAGCAGGGAAAATTCACGGTTGGTGCATGGTGGCGCCTCCACTTTATCAACCTGCAAGCTGCACGACACAGCCATGGCCATGGCGCACAAAGGCAAGACCTTCATTCGCAAAACCTTCAAGTTCTTGAAGCTCTGAAGTGGAATGCATGTGTCCAAGGCATGCAGCATGCAAAGGTCGGAACGACCCATGTTTCTAAAAGGTCACAGGCGCACAAAAACCTGGAGACTAAATGCATGCCAAAGTCTTTTTGTTCGGGTTGTGGGCACTTCGTGTTCGGAACTCGGTGGCTATAACCAGAGAATCAGGAAAGCATAGACTAGTGTCAAAACAACCACAAAAACTGTTGTTTTGTACACATACGCTGATATTGGGGCTAAAAATACAGCACCACGAACTAGGAAATGTCAGCCATAAACTCAATGAAGTCTTGCGTCAGCGGCAGTTGGTGCCTCCACACGAACTCAAAGAGGTATCTAGGTATCGAAAGAGATCTGGGTTGGCCTCGCATGGGACGACGAGGGAAGGGAGTCTTGGGACGTCTGCTGTCATGAGTTTGTTCTCTGAGTCCCAGCCATATGATGTAATATGTGCCGTAGGTGGTAGGCTTTTTCAGCACCAGAGGTCTGGGTTGCTGTTGTCAGAGTTGGCGAATGGATGCTCTGAGGAGAGGACGAGGTCTGTGTGGACGTTATCAGATAGGGTGGTTGATATCATGGTTGACCTATGGGGTGAGCTGGAGGGCGAATGTGGCTTAGGTGGACGTTATCATGGTTGACCCATGGATGGTCCGGGGGAAGGATGAGGTTTGGGTGGACGTTATCTTGTTTTTGGGCCCTGGATGCTGTGGGGGACGGATGATGTCTGGGTGGACGTTATCATGGTTTTGGCCCGTGGGTGAGGTCTGGGTGCACGAAATCATGGCTTTGGCCCATGGATGCTGTGAGGGACGATGAGGTCTGGTTCGACGTGATCATAGTTTTGGCCCATGGATGCTCCGTGGAACGGATGAGGTCTGGGTGGACGTTAATTATCATGGCTTTTTTTCTCCATCGATGCTCTGGGGAACGGATGAGGGCTGGTTGACATTATAATGTTTGCCCATGGATGCTCGTGGGCAAGCAGGAAACTCGCCTGCTTCCTCCTAAAAGAGGCTGAACATTTTCGGCGCCAGCAGAAGACAATGGATACAACGACAACAATTGCGAGAACTGTCCAGACCTCACCGCGCACCTGCAAGAAGCTTCGGACATCTGAGTGCAAGTCATTCTGCGTGCGACATGCGACATGCAATGAATCGCTCGCGACTCGTCTATGTCATGGGTGTTTCATGCATGCCAGCAAGTCACGATAGGTGGCACGTGACGAGCCCAGCGGCCCTGCGAGCGAGCATCATGTGCCCTGCTCCACGCAATGCAATGTTCAATCCGTCCTGCGTGGTCCAGATCAGATTGCATGAGTGCGATGAAATAGATATGATCCCGTCGTGTAAAAGCCCATGCAAGCACTTGTTTCCCAGTGGCGGGCATGTTTCCTCCTATGTGCAAAGCAGCCATGCCTCTTATGCATGTGTAAGAAAGTGCTGCCATATACACGGAAACTGAACTCGTCAGTCAAGCCTTCTCTCTTTCCGCTTCTTGGCGGCTGCCGGTGCGCTTTTCAAGCCAGCCCGCAGATGCAACAAGCTCTTGGAGGACAACACCGCCCATAAAGTAGTCGTTCCGATGCCACCGCAAAGGATGCTTACCTCTAGTTCCTGGAAGGTTGCATCGTCCGTTATTGCAGACGTTATTGCCATGAGAATGGTCATCATGAGGGTGGCTGGGGAAGGGTGTTTGCTGGAAGCTCTCACAAGATTGGACTTCTTTTTCTTCTTGCCAGCATCGGCATTCTCCTCATCCGAGTCCCGAAGCATCGCCTGTGCGGCTTTGTCACAAGCTTTTTGCCGTTTCTCCAGGAGCTGCGCCATGCACTCGTTGTCCAACTTCCCTTTGTTTTCTTTGTCCTTCCGAAGGTCCAAAGCTTGTCCCGAGAGCGACTTGACAACCTTTCTATCCCACTTCGGGATCTTGAAGTAGACCTCGCCCCGAACAGTTTGCTGATGGGGAACCCAATTGTTCTTCCCGTCCTTCACGACGAGCATGCTCTCTATGGTGACATGCTCGGAGTCTTCGGCATCACTCTGCATGGCCATGCTGTCGCTGCACGCTCTGCGAGGCAAGCTACGAAGAACCGACTGGTGTGCGCGCACGGGCAAGTAAAGGACATTGTGCATGTCTTTTGACTGATGTACATGACGTGCCCATGCCCACGGGCATGATATGGGTAATATAGGTGCCGCATGAGGTGTCGGGTAGCCCTGCTGGCGGCTGTGTCTGTTAATGCATCATGCATGCGTCGCGTGCCCTTGCTTGCATGATATGTGCCCGTGTCCACGCATGCGTGCCGATTTGTCTTGATCATGCTCGCCTGCCAGCGAGCGTTACAGCCCTGCTGGCGGCGGCTGTGCTTTGAAACATGCATGACGTGCCCGTGCCCAAGCATGCATGATACATGACCCATGATGTGTCATGATGTCGCCCTCATTTCTCCAAGTCGCCTACTTGTCGCACTTTGCAAATTGGCTAAAACAGCATATCCGAAGTACAGCAACTGCATATAACTACTTACCTTATATAGTGAAAACTAGCCAATAGCCGACTGAAATGATTGCTTTATAAAGCAACCCTTTGCTCAACACATTTTCCGCAGCTGTGCACATACTAAGCGCTCAACTTAAATCGCCTATGATAGAGGACATAACTTACTAAGTGGTTCAAGCGACACAGCTAAATAGTAAATGCCACGAACCTCCAAGTACTGTCTCAGAGCTCGGAGAGAAGGACTTTGTTGAATGGGTTCGAGCGGTCACGGACTTCCAAGCTCTGGTTGCGCCAGAAATTCTGCGTGTCTTGCACGTGCGGATGAGCTTTCGCAGATCTGGAGGGCCAGGATGGCCACCCTGGCAAAGGTGCCCCGAATCATGGGATCCGCAAGATTTCAGCTGACCGCAAGGGGTCACCTGGCAGTTCTTGCTGACGGGCAGTGGTCATCGACGCCAGCGGTGGCGTCACAATTGCCACCACTTCGCCTCAGTACGATCCTCGAGGCAATGTCGTGGAGAGGAAACGGTCTTGCCACGGCTTACGGGGAGGGTAGGCGGATTGCACGCCGTGCTTAAGCACGGTATCAAAGAATCCTTCTGAGAAGCACCAAGTCTCAGACCGGGAGCTCTTTGCCAGGACATTCCAGACCATCTATGATGCGGCAGCCATGACAAGTGACAATCCCACCCGCTGCATCATTCAGTACGCGCGGGACGAAGAAGCAGCCGCTCTCAAATTCACGCATGGCGAGACCCCTACTCCAAGTTCAAGGCAGTTAAAGGGGGTGGACGATCCGAATCGGGCGATCCGCCGCCTGCAAACGGGCGAAAGGCCCGCAATAAAGGACAATGGGAGTGGCACTGGACTGGTCGGCGCGAGGATCGCCAGGCGTCGTGCAAACACCCTTGGCAACAGGACCACTGGCGCAACTGAATAGCCAATGCCAGCAATAGGAGTAGGGCACCGTCCTAGCTCGCCATCGGGCAGCGCAGAAACAATCATCAAGGACTCAACGTCCAATCAGGGCGGACCAACGCCCTGGCACGCCCCGGCACGCCTTTTTCACGCAGTGCTCAAACGAAGTTCATTGTCATTACAAAAATTTCTTGCCAATTGCAGACTCTGTTCTACGCCGCTTGAGTACCGGTTCAATTGGGACTTAGCATTTATTTTTCCCCTAAGGGGATGCATTCACGACTCCGAGCCGACATCGTCAAAACATTGGACGCTGCACGCACCAGCCTAGCAACTCAGAGTGGCGTAAGGTCTGCCTGACAACAGCGCCGTTCGCTCGCCTTGCGGCCCGTCGCCTTCTTCTGGGCACTGGGAGTGACCAAGTGTGGGACGCCACTTGCACTCAGGGACCCGGCTTTCCAGTACGACGCCAGAAGTTGGTCCATGAGCGTTGGACGCAACAGCTCATATGAGGGTGGCGGAGGTCCGAGGTTGTTTCACCATCTGAGCGCAAAGGTAAAGGTTGCATGTTGAATACATTGTAGCCGTTTCAGAATTGTAGACGGCACAACGCCCACAATACGGTGGATTGAAAGCACCTAATCTTACCGCAGGCGATTGTCCATTCTCCTGGCTACCTCTTTTGGCAGTTTATTTTTGGCTTGCTGTTCTCATAACTTTGTAGACAGATCCACGCCTGCGGTTGCTTTTTGGCAGCACATGCTCGCCTTTTGTTCGGTCTGGTGCCAGGGCCGATACTGTTGTTGTTGTTGTTGCTGCTGTTGGTGCTGGTGCTGGTGTTGGTGCTGGTTGTGGTGTTGGTGTTGGTGTTTGGTTGTTTTTGGTGGTTGTTGTTGGTGCTTGTGTTGGTGTTTGTTGTGGTGTTCGCATTTGTGTTGGTGTTGTTGGTGGTGGTAGTGTTACGGTGTTGCTGGTTGTTGTTGTTGTTGTTGCTGCTGCTGTTGTTTGCTGTTGGTCGTTGTTGGTTTTCGTTGGTTTTTGTTGGCTGTTGTTGGTCGTTGTTGGTTGTTATGTTTGGATGTTGTTGGTTGCTGTTGGTTGCTCTTCAACTGTTGGTTGCTGTTGGTTGTCGTTGCTTGTTGTTGGTTGTCATTGTTGGTTGCTGTTGGTTGCTGTTAGTTGTTGGTGGTTAATGGCTGTGGTTGGTGTGGTTGTGATGTTGTTGTGGTGTTGTTGTGGTTGTTGTGGTTGCTGGCTGTTTTTGTGCTTGTGGTCGTTGTTTTCGTTTTTTGGTTGTTGTTGTTGTGATGTGCATGCATGCCTGTGACTGTGCGTGAGAGAGAGTTGATTGATGTGCCTTGTTGACCGAGCCGCCATCCGCAACATCACTTCAACGTATGTCAACGGATCCACCCAACACCAATTGGTGGATGGCGGCGCCTACTCGGTTGTTCTGCGGTATCAGGCAAGGTTGTGCATCCGCCGATAAGATTACGTGAGGGCCAGATCTGTCCACGTTCATCAGGATTCTTTCGGCCATCCGCCAGCGATTCACTGGCTGCAGAGGTATGAGGTGTGCTAGCCCTGGTGCGGACTGGGAGTTGTCTGCAGCCTTTTTTGTTGCATTTGCGGCCCTTGTGTTGAACGTTTTCTCAAGGTCGTACGATCTAGAGACTTTACCGCCGACGCTGATAGAACCAGTGCCGGCTTCCGAGCCACTCCGAAGTGGCATATGGTCAGTCCTCAGCTGTTTCTTCGGGACTTGCAGGCCGGGATTTACAAAGCAGGCGCTGCGAGTGTCCTACACGCTCCAAGAGGACGGACGCTTGCATTTCGGTATCTCAGTCACTCCGTCGGGTCTTCGCAGGACATGTTCCCAGAGTCGGTGTGGCTGACGCTGACGTTCATCGGGGCTTTTCCGGGCTTCGGCCACCAAGTGCAGGAGCTTCTCTGACAGTCCGCTGCAGAGACTCCCTTCCTATTGATCGCGGCGCCATGCAGGATACAAACTCGCCCTACGAGATCCAACTGAGCCAGGCCTTGCCGCAGTCGTGTGCCGCTTGGGCTCTTTCGCTCCGCTTCGCCTCGACTCTGCACAGGACCTCACTCACCAGGGCACCTATGCTTTCGACCTTAACCTGGGTGAGCTGAATGCAGACTTAGCTGGAAGGCGCTGTCCTGCGGTCCTGCAACCCCTCATGCACCGTTTGAAGTCACGAATCCTGTGAAAGGAGATCGCCATATGTCCGTCGTGTGCTCACAGCCAGCTCGGCCCCAAGCCTGTTGGAGGTCTCCTTCCTTTTTGAAGCTTACTGTGGCCCAGTGATCTAGACTCACAACCGGGTTGACACTCTCTCTGCAAGCACAAAAAGATGTTTAGGAGACGACACTTCTGAGCTTTTAGGTGGTATCGGTGGGCCTGGCACGCGTCTGGTTACTGGAGGCTGGGCCTCATGTGACTGTGATGGACATGGAGCGAGCCTGAACTTTATGGAAACACGTCTCGTTTAGGAACACAAAACGTCGAACTAACATCCTTGTACCGGAAGGGTCGCAGTTGTCCGAGACATCAGCTGCATGACGGGCCAACAGCTTGGAGGGGCGATGAGATCACTCTTCCGGGGAGGTGGGGTCGAATACCTGCAAACGATTCCCTCTCATCTATTCGATTCTGCATCCTGGCCAGCATGGCAATTACCACTCGTGCTGTTGAAGCATGCTTTTTCGCTTCAGCCAAACAAGTACTGCTCTTTCCGAGGAGTTGTCATAAAATGCCACGCGTGGGATAGACCATCGGGTTCTGTGATGATAGGCCTTGCATCAACCATGCACCGCAATCTTGAGAGCCGAAGCATGCTGACTCAACTTCCTTTGCAGTGCCTGCACGAACGCATGTTAACACCTGATGTACGAACGACGATTTTTATGAAGTTGTGCGTACGTGAACCACACGCTCGCTCGCTCATTCTTTCTGTGAATAGAGAAAATCTGCGTACACTTGCCGGAGTCTCTCATCGGAAAGCCCGACGCAAAAAAGCCTTATGATTCGGTACTGGGAATTGCGCAATAATGTGCTCCGCCGCAGAGCTTGTTTTTTTTGCGTTGCGTTGGGGTCCTCCGCCCCAGCATCCGGGGGAATAGAGTGAGCGAGACCCGCGACCCCCCGAGCAGGTGCGGGAACGTGCAGCAACAGAGCACTTAATTTAATTCGCCCACGTGGATTACGTGACTACGTGGTCGCGTCCTGTGGCTGACGAAGCAATTGCATAATCCCCGTGGGCGAATGCACCCGGAGAATGGCGATTGTTTGCCGTGCATTCGCCTACCCGGACTTCACTCACTCGCTCGCACTTCCACTGCCTGCTGAGGGGAGGGCAACACACAGGCCGCGTTTTCTGCGGTGCATTCGTGTGGCCATGGCGCACTTTGGGCGAATGCACTTCAACAAGACGAGCGTGAAGCACCGAGCGAATGCACAGCAAAAAGGAACTCACAGCAAAGAAACACATCGGCATTGCTCTGCACTTGGCCTTTGTCGATGATATCATTTGCTCCGAGAGGGCATCCATGCCTAAGCATGAAATGTTCCCCAATGGAATGCTTCGGTGGCCCTGCCTGTTTGCCGAAAGCCTTCATGGGGGTGGTTTACTGACGACCGCATGTCAAAAACGTACAGCTGTATTTTAGGATTGCGCATTTTTGCTGAAACACGGCTGAGGTTTCAATCCTAGGATGATCGCATTGTTGATCCAGAACATGACCTGCAGCATTTATGATCCGGATATGGTTTGGGATGTTTCCATCTGTAGCTGACGGTGGTAACTCAACCGCCCATGCTACTACGAGTGAAGCGTAGTACTCGTTTCCGTTGAGGATGGTGCGGTGAGTCTGGTTTCGAGTCCAAACATCTTGCAAACATCAAACGGAAGCCCAAGCTCGGTTCTGCCCGTAGCGCCTCGACTGCAAAAGTTGGCGCATGTCTCGGAATATGGTTGATCTTTTGGGGGATGGCGCAGAGCAATCATAAGGCTCAGCCTTCGGTGCTATGGTCATCACGAAAGCTCTCCCCAGGGAGCCATTCGTTTCAAAAGTCAGAACTTGTTCTGCCAGAAGGCTTAGGGGGTGTGGGTGAAGAGGTGGCCAGTCCGGGCCCGTTTTTGCAGACATTCCGCGTGCTATGCAGGGATTTAGGGCTGCACCGGGCCGGGCCTTTTTTTGGCTCCAGCGGGTGGGGTTCTAAACGACCCTCCAATGGAGAAACGAGCCCCCCATGATGCTCATGATGCTCGCCTGCCGGCGCCAATTGGGATCCCAGGATGCTCATGATGCACTTAGCTGGCTTAGCTTCTTTGAGACGCCTAGCTTCTTCTGTGTGATCATTGTTTTTTTCAGCGATTTTAAGATATAGGGTCTAGGGCTTTGAGTGCGCAAGGGTTGTGTATGACCCCGTTCGTTTCCTTCTGTATGCTCCTTGGAAACTGAAACAACTGTGTATGACACCATCCATTGTCTTTTTCAGGGATTTTAAGATACAGGGTCTAGGGCGTTGAGTGCGGAAGGGTTGTGTATGACCCCGTTCGTTTTCTTCTGAATGCTCCTTGGAAACTGAAACAACTGTGTATGACACCATCCGTTGTCTTTTTCAGCGATTTTAAGATACAGGGTCTAAGGCTTTGAGTGCGCAAGGGTTGTGTATGACCCCGTTCGTTTTCTTCTGTATGCTCCTTGGAAACTGAAGCAACTGTGTATGACACCATCCGTTGTCTTTTTCAGCGATTTTAAGATACAGGGTTTAGTGCTTTGAGTGCGCAAGGGTTGTGTATGACCCCGTTCGTTTTCTTCTGTATGCTCCTTGGAAACTGAAACAACTGTGTATGACACCATTCGTTGTCTTTTTCAGCGATTTAAAGATACAGGGTCTAGGGCTTTGAGTGCGCAAGGGTTGTGTATGACCCCGTTCGTTTTCTTCTGTATGCTCCTTGGAAACTGAAACAACTGTGTATGACACCATTCATTGTCTTTTTCAGCGATTTTAAGATACAGGGTCTAGGGCTTTGAGTGCGCAAGGGTTGTGTATGACCCCGTTCGTTTTCTTCTGTATGCTCCTTGGAAACTGAAACAACTGTGAATGACACCATTCGTTGTCTTTTTAAGCGATTTTAAGATACAGGGTCTAGGGCTCTGAGTGCGCAAGGTTGTGTATGACCCCATTCGTTTTCTTCTGTATGCTCCTTGGAAACTGAAACAACTGAGTATGACACCATTCGTTGTCTTTTTCAGCGATTTTAACATACAGGGTCTAGGGTTTTGAGTGCGCAAGGGTTGCGTATGACCCCGTTCGTTTTCTTCTGTAGGCTCCTTGGAAACTGAAACAACTGAGTATGACACCATTCGTTGTCTTTTTCAGCGATTTTAAGATACAGGGTCTAGGGCTTTGAGTGCGCAAGGGTTGTGTATGACCCCGTTCGTTTTCTTCTGTATGCTCCTTGGAAACTGAAACGACTGTGCATGACACCATTCGTCGTCTTTTTCAGCGATTTTAAGATACAGGGTCTAGGGCTTTGAGTGCGCAAGGGTTGTGTATGACCCCGTTCGTTTTCTTCTGTATGCTCCTTGGAAACTGAAACAACTGTGTATGACACCATCCGTTGTCTTTTTTAGCGATTTTAAGATGCAGGGTCTAGGGCTTTGAGTGCGCAATGGTTGTATATGACCCCGTTCGTTTTCTTCTGTATGCTCCTTGGAAACTGAAACAACTGTGTATGCCACCATCCGTTGTCTTTTTCAGCGATTTTAAGATACAGGGTCTAGGGCTTTGAGTGCGCAAGGGTTGTGTATGACCCCGTTCGTTTTCTTCTGTATGCTCCTTGGAAACTGAAACAACTGTGTATGACACCATCCGTTGTCTTTTTCAGCGATTTTAAGATACAGGGTCTAGGGCTTTGAGTGCGCAAGGGTTGTGTATGACCCCGTTCGTTTTCTTCTGAATGCTCCTTGGAAACTGAAACAACTGTGTATGACACCATTCGTGGTCTTTTTCGGCTATTTTACGATACAGGGTCTAGGGCTTTGAGTGCGCAAGGGTTGTGTATGACCCCGTTCGTTTTCTTTTGTATGCTCTTTGGAAACTGAAACAACTGTGTATGACACCATTCGTTGTCTTTTTCAGCGATTTTAAGATACAGGGTTCGCGCAAGGGTTGTGTATGTCCCCGTTCGTTTTCTTCTGTATGCTCCTTGGAAACTGAAACAACTGTGTGTGACACCATTCGTTGTCATTTTAAGATACAGGGTCTAGGGCTTTGAGTGCGCAAGGGTTGTGTATGACCTTGTTCGTTTTCTTCTGTATGCTCCTTGGAAACTGAAACAACTGTGTCTGACACCACTCGTTGTTTTCAGCGATTTTAAGATACAGGGTCTAGGGCTTTGAGTGCGCAAGGGTTGTGTATGACCCCGTTCGTTTGCTTCTGTATGCTCCTTGGAAACTGAAACAACTGTGTATGACACCATTCGTTGTTTTTTTCAGCGATTTTAAGATACAGGGTCTAGGGCTTTGAGTGCGCAAGGGTTGTGTATGACCCCGTTCGTTTTCTTCTGTATGCTCCTTGGAAACTGAAGAAACTGTGTATGACACCATCCGTTGTCTTTTTCAGCGGTTTTAAGATGCAGGGTCTAGGGCTTTGAGTGCGCAAGGGTCGTGTATGACCCCGTTCGTTTTCTTCTGTATGCTCCTTGGAAACTGAAACAACTGTGTATGACACCATCCGTTGTCTTTTTCAGCGATTTTAAGAGTCTAGGGCTTTGAGTGCGCAAGGGTTGTGTATGACCCCGTTCGTTTCCTTCTGTATGCTCCTTGGAAGCTGAAACAACTGTGTCTGGCACCATCCGTTGTCTTCTTCAGCGAATTTAAGATACAGGGTCTAGGGCTTTGAGTGCGCAAGGGTTGTGTATGACCCGTTCGTTTTCTTCCGTATGCTCCTTGGAAACTCAAACAACTGTGTCTGACACCATTCGTTGTCTTTTTCAGCGATTTTAAGATACAGGGTCTGCGCAAGGGTTGTGTATGTCCCCGTTCGTTTTCTTCTGTATGCTCCTTGGAAACTGAAACAACTGTGTATGACACCACTCGTTGTTTTCAGCGATTTTAAGATACAGGGTGTAGGGCTCTGAGTGCGCAAGGGTTGTGTATGACCCCGTTCGTTTTCTTCTGTATGCTCCTTGGAAACTGAAACAACTGTGTATGATGTGTATGACACCATTCGTTGTCTTTTTCAGCGATTTTAAGATACAGGGTCTAGGGCTTTGAGTTGCGCAAGGGTTGTGTATGACCCCGTTCGTTTTCTTCTGTATGCTCCTTGGAAACTGAAACAACTGTGTATGATGTGTATGACACCATTCGTTGTTTTTCAGCGATTTTAAGATACAGGTTCTAGGGCTTTGAGTGTGCAAGGGTTGTGTATGACCCCGTTCGTTTTCTTCTGTATGCTCTTTGGAAACTGAAACAATTGTGAATGACACCATTCGTTGTCTTTCCAGCGATTTTAAGATACAGGGTCTAGGGCTTTGAGTGCGCAAGGGTCGTGTATGACCCCGTTCGTTTTCTTCTGTATGCTCCTTGGAAACTGAAACAACTGTGTATGACACCATTCGTTGTCTTTTTCAGCGATTTTAAGATACAGGGTCTAGGGCTTTGAGTGCGCAAGGGTTGTGTATGACCCCGTTCGTTTTCTTCTGTATGCTCCTTGGAAACTGAAACAACTGTGTATGACACCATTCGTTGTCTTTTTCAGCGATTTTAAGATACAGGGTCTAGGGCTTTGAGTGCGCAAGGGTTGTGTATGACCCCGTTCGTTTTCTTCTGTATGCTCCTTGGAAAATGAAACAATGTGTATGACACCATTCACTGTCTTTTTCAGCGATTTTAAGATACAGGGTCTAGGATTTTGAGGGCGCAAGCGTCGTGTATGACCCCGTTCGTTTTCTTCTGTATGCTCCTTGGTAACTGAAACAACTGTGTATGACACCATTCGCTGTCTTTTTCAGCGTTTTTCAAGATATAGGGTCTAGGGCTTTGAGTGCGCAAGGGTTGTGTATGACCCCGTTCGTTTTCTTCTGTATGCTCCTTGGAAACTGAGACAACTGTGTATGACACCACTCGTTGTTTTCAGTGATTTTAGGATACAGGGTCTATTAGGGCTTTGACTGCGCAAGGGTTGTGTATGACCCCGTTCGTTTTCTTCTGCCTGCTCCTTGGAAACCGAAGCAACTGTGTATGACACGATTCGTTGTCTTTTCAGCGATTTTAAGATACGGGGTCTAGGGCTTTGAGTGCGCAAGGGTTGCGTATGACCCCGTTCGTTTTCTTCTGTATGCTCCTTGGACTGAAACAACTGTGTATGACACCATTCGTTGTTTTTTTCAGCGATTTTAAGATACAGGGTCTAGGGCTTTGAGTGCGCAAGGGTTGTGTATGACCCCGTTCGTTTTCTTCTGTATGCTCCTTGGAAACTGAAACAACTGTGTATGACACCATTCGTCGTCTTTTTCAGCGATTTTAAGATACAGGGTCTAGGGCTTTGACTGCGCAAGGGTTGTGTATGACCCCGTTTGTTTTCTTCTGTATGCTCCTTGGAAACTGAAACAACTGTGTATGACACCATTCGTTGTCTTTTTCAGCGATTTTAAGATACAGGGTCTAGGGCTTTGAGTGCGCAAGGGTTGTGTATGACCCCGTTCGTTTTCTTCTGTATGCTCCTTGGAAACTGAAACAACTGTGTATGACACCATTCGTTGTCTTTTTCAGCGATTTTAAGATACAGGGTCTAGGGCTTTGAGTGCGCAAGGGTTGTGTATGACTCCGTTCGTTTTCTTCTGTATGCTCCTTGGAAACTGAAACAACTGTGTCTGACACCATTCGTTGTCTTTTTCAGCATATTTAAGATACAGGGTCTAGGGCTTTGAGTTGCACGAGGGTTGTGTATGACCCCGTTCGTTTTCTTCTGTATGCTCCCTGGAAACTGAAACAACTGTGTATGACACCATTCGTTGTCTTTTCAGCGATTTTAAGATACAGGGTCTAGGGCTTTGAGTGCGCAAGGGTTGTGTATGACCCCGTTCGTTTTCTTCTGTATGCTCCATGGAAACTGAAACAACTGCGTATGGCACCATTCCTTGTCTTTTTCAGCGATTTTAAAATACAGGGTCTAGGGCTTTGAGTGCGCAAGGGTTGTGTATGACCCCGTTCGTTTTCTTCTGTGTGCTCCTTGGAAACTGAAACAACTGTGTATGACACCATTCGTTGTCTTTTTCAGCGATTTTAAGATACAGGGTCTGCGCAAGGGTTGTGTATGTCCCCGTTCGTTTTCTTCTGTATGCTCCTTGGAAACTGAAACAACTGTGTATGACACCATTCGTTGTCTTTTTCAGCGATTTAAGATACAGGGTCTAGGGCTTTGAGTGCGCAAGGGTCGTGTATGACTCCGTTCGTTTTCTTCTGTATGCTCCTTGGAAACTGAAACAACTGTGTCTGACACCATTCGTTGTCTTTTCAGCGATTTTAAGATACAGGGTCTAGGGCTGTGAGTGCACAAGGGTTGTGTATGACCCCGTTCGTTTTCTTCTGGACGCTCCTCAGAAATTGAAATAACTGTGTATTCCTCACTCCCAAACTTTAATCCCAGTTATGCTCATGATGCGCTTTGCTTTTCTGTGTACGGTCTTCACTCATGCTCACAAGCCCATGAAGCTAGAGCTTTCGTCACCCCCCTCCGGGTCTCAAGTCTTCCTGTGGAGGGGTTTGGGGGGTGTGAGCAAAGAGCACAGAGGATGGGGGGTGAGCCGACTCGCGAACTTCTTCGCCCTAATGCGGTGCTTGAAAACAATCGTCGCAAGGAAGGTCGTCAAGGTCGAGCTTCAGCCAGACCCGTCTGAAATGGACGACTATGTCTTGGTGTCAATTGTTGCTGGGCGTGCTGGGCGGGGTGCGAAAAATATGTTTCGTCGCCTTCCCATGCGCACAGGGAAGCATGCAGTTTTACTACTGCTCGGGATGTCCGAGCGAGAAGGAGATGGCGACTGGCTTGAATTAGGTTCAAGCAGTTTCGCTTGGATTTGTGTATGTCTATCTCGACAGCTTGATGCCTGTCGTCCTTCTGAATCGAAATGGTTTAAAGGTGCTTACATCATGCCGTCATGCGATGTGACATTCCAGAGACTAGGAGTTCTGGGCTACTGTACTTACGTTTGCCGCGTTGTGTAATGTGTATAGTATAGATCTGCAGTGTGAAGAATGGCGTGGGCCTGTCCAGCGCCGTTCGTAGAATCGACTGCAACGAGGAAAGTGGACGAAAGCACGTATAATCGCGTATGTCTGCATGTGTGTACGTGCCCATGGCAGATTGCTGGTGCGCATCCAAACATACCGGAATAAGTACAACTCCTGCATGCATGCAGGTAGCTAGAGACAGGCATATGCACAGGGAGGCGAATGTATGTGTGCATGCCCGTCTTCAGCTCGTGCATGTTCTGTTCTGTCGTGTCGTGTCGTGTTGCGTTATGCTCCGCTCGATGTAGGTCATATAGTGTGTGTACATGTTTATTATCGTCGAAGGGCTGTAGAGACTGTACAGGTTGCCAAGCTGAGCATTGTCTTTAGCTGGGCGCTGGAAACCGCAGGACCATGCCGTGATGGCCTTGCGTCGCTACATCCCCAAGCGTACAGAGCACAGAAGCACGAGTGGCAGGCGAATGGCATCGGACCCATGGCAGAAACTCATTCCACCGATCAGCTTTCATAAATGCTTCAAAATGGTCGGAAACGGCGCTCTCCAGTGCGGAACGCGGCCACGCGGTAGATTAAGTGGCTTGAAAGGGGCACTGCATCGAGAGGAGGCCACCAGGTTCGCAGAGTATGGCAGAAGCATTCGAGCTGCGCGTCAAGGCCGATACAATGTAACCTTGCGAGTTGCCGACCGGTACAACAATGCGCCCATGTTTGACCAAGTGTCTGGCTCAGAAAGATTGAGCATGGAGGGCGCCCGAAAGTTATTTGCAGTTTGAGCCAAGGTCTCCGACATCGACTTCGTTTGGGACATTGCCACGGAAGTGACACAAGTTACCGAGCCGACGACGGTGCATCCTGGCTAATCGAAAAATCAACAACCGTCTGGCAGTCGCTTATGTGAGGCCAAAAGTACGCTAGTTTGTTTTGATTCTCTCATCTTGCTCCCTGCTGCATTTGCATCGCATAGCATCACCTCACTGAAGGATGTCAGCAATACTGCTATGAATCTTGCCGGGCTGTGAGGCTGAACAGCCCCATCGTCATTGAGTACACCCTGACGGAGCGTGCCCTGCCAGGCTCACTGCGTGTCCAGCTCAGGTGTGCGTACAAGCTGGCGATTGGGGCCTCTGCTGTCTGTCGAATCACCCCAGGATTTGACATCATCTGGCTGCGAAGCTTGGCCCCAGTTCCCGGCATGCCGAGCCCGAAGGCACTTACAGTGAGAAGGCGAAGAGAAGCCCGTCCGTGAGCTCGACAGGCAGACCCGCAAAGTCCGCACAGCTTCGTCGTCTATCCTGCGAAGGTGCAGTCGGGCATCCTAAGCACACCCTGCTTATGCCCTCAGCATCGGCTCGATCGCATCTGCATGGAAGGAGCAGTCGAGCATCGATGGGATATCGTCCAACATCTTGAGGCTGAAGATTTGTGCATAGCAGGCGCCTATTAGAGACAGACCCGGAAGGTTGAGCCCTTCCAATCTGTTTCGCGACATCAACGATGAGGCCGAAAGGGAAACTTCTGGGCCTTCTTGGTCTCGTGCGTCGTCACCGACCAGGCCCTGGCGCACCCGGACATCAGAATCTTTGAGTCGAAAGGCCGTGGACAGGGAGATGTGGGAGGGCCGGGCGGCTGGACAAGTGGGAGCGGCTCTCATCCAGGGACCCCGGTCTATTCTTTCTTGCAGCCTCTCTCGGAGTACCTGCTTTCCATCTCATACCAGGCCTGAAAAGTGCAGGGCTTTGGGCCTTTGGGCTCGTTTCATTGCTCAGGACCTCTTCGAGAACACGAGGAGTTACTTGAACCGCACCTTGCGGACGAACTTCACTGTGCCTTTCACACCCCAAGCTCCGACGTTGAAGAGCAGGAATCGAGGGGCCGAGGGAAGGGCTCCCTTCCCTTTTTCTCTTTCGCACCCTTGCCTCTGCGTTGAGGACCACGAGCACCTTGGAGGTTGCCTGGGTAAGGGGCTTTACCGGCGGCATGCGTGGAGAGCTCAGAGTATGAGAAAGAGTATCTCTCTTTGCTTTGGGAGCCTGGTCTGCTGCTCGCCTGCAGCATCGCAACGAGCGAACGCTCAAGAGGAATTTCGGGCTACGACCTGCAGCTTCAAATGGCCCCGGGCCCACCGACCCCGTGGTGGAACGGTCCGCGTCTGAAAGCCGGGCAGTGCCCTTCGACATGTCTTTCTCCTGGAACCAGCTGAAACACTGCCGCAGCCATTTCGGACAGTGCCTTGAGAAGGTTATACAGTAGTTGACGGTAGCCGCATTCCGACATCTCCAGTCAAGACTGTGAACGATGCTCTCAACCCAGCCTGTCGTGCCACGGCTGCAGGATGTCGTGCGAAGCAGCGTCCCAGCAGACCTTAAACCTGAGCCTAATACGCCCCAAAACCTGATAATCCCCAGTGTCCCGAAACAAGTCCTATCCGAAAGACTCTGTGAGGTGGCGTGCACGGGGCCAGCTCAGACCATCAGTGCACCCCCAGGTCTCGTGGAGCCTCGTCACTACAGTGGCTTTGGAGGGGTTCTAATTCATGGGCTTGAGGTTTTCGGTTTGGTGGGTTAACGGCATCAAAGGGTTTCCAGGAGGCTTTTGGTGATTTTGGCCCATTCTCGGCTTCGCGTGTAGCCTCCCTCGGAGCATTGCGAGCTGGCCTGTTCGCTCAGGCCGATGCAACCTGGCCGAGGTCCACCGTTCCTTTGCAAACGCCACCCATCTCTGCAACTCCGGCTGGAAGAGCAAGGGGTAAGCAGCGTCTCGTGGGCACCTTGCCAGCTTCACTAGCCCAGGTTCCCTGTGCACCCCCGGCCAACCCGCCGCCGGAGATCGCGGGCTCGGAGCCACGCGCCCCGCCGGGCTGGGATTCCAACGCAGGCCGGGAAGACCTCTTGGAGACTCCACTGCCACAACAACCCTTATAAAGGCCTTGTGACGGTTGACAGGACCTGGCAGTGAAGAACCGCCCCGGCCACTAGGCCGAGTGTTCCGGTGCTGTGGTTTGCCCAAATGTGGACACTGGCACACGTCCCTTGCAGGCACCCTTCTGCCCATGACCGATGAGGAGAAACAGCGAAGCTTGGTGTGATTTCGGACCGCGGAGGCAGACGTATCAGACGCAGATGGCATTTGCACCCAAGGCCAGGCGGTGGTGGAAAAGGCCAAGGCACAAGGAATTCCCCTGAAGGTTGGACCTGGCACCTTCATTCCGGGTCACAGCCTTACCTGATCAGACCAGGTCCGCCTGCCCGATGCGGCGCTGAGCGTGGTGCGCCCACTGTGCCGTCCCGAGCCTCCCGAGATCTGAGCCACGGGAGACTTCAAGGAAACGTTTCGCCAGGGTGCCCGGCTGCCCCGCCAAGAAGAGACTCCCGTGGCCGGACGTGATGGAGGCGCGACGCGCTGGCGCGCCTGGGCCCGCGTGCCTGCGCCCGCGCCTGTGCGAGCCGACGAGTTGCAAGCTTCGTAAGCCTGGGGCAGGAGATCTATGAGGCCCAAACTGTCGCCATGGATTCGTACAAGCGAAGCCGGACGCTCAGCCAACGTGACTTGAGCCGTTCGCTTAAATACAGTAGCTGCCAGGCTCTGCGTACTATTCCGCACCGCCAGAAGCAGAGGCAGCGAGTCTATCTTTGTGCATGTGTGCTCGTGCTTGTGTATCCATGCAATGTAGCTGAACGTGACGTACAACATAACATCTTACTAGCACATAGAGGCAATGTCTAACGTGTCGTAGAATGTCCCATAATTCCATGTAATGCAACGTAGAGTCTCTTACTGTAGCATAGCAAAGCGCAGAGTAGCGTGCAAGAGAGAACACATCTCATCGAATTCGCCCTACACGGGACTCTGCCATGCCCCGGCCTGCTGTGCCCCTGTGCCCACTGTGCTCTCGCACCCCCTGGCCTGCCGCTGTCCCTGCGCCCCGCCCTTCCCTCCCCTGCGCCCCCTGCCCTGACCTGTTCTGCCGTGTGCGCGGCGGAGTGGAGGCCTCCTCAAAGTTTCAATAGTTTTAATTAAAAGTGTTACAGGATCCTAAAGGTCTCAGAAGTTTGAATCATTTCCCAGCCGACCCTCATCCCCGAACCTTTTGACAGGTTTTGAAATATTGAAGGGTTTCAATGGTTGGAGTGTTGAAGGTTTCAATTTTTTCGGGGACGACGCGCATACATACTACATACGTAGTGTAGATACATACACTCATACGTACAGACATACATACATACATACCCGCACGCATGCATGTACACATGTCGCGACGAACACGAGTCTGGTTTCCTCGTCGTTCTCACCTGTAGGCGACTGCCACCGCTTCTTTTGTTTATTTCGGGCACTTGTAAGCTACGTATGATCTTGATGAACCGGACTCTAACTACCTACCTACCTACCTTCCTTCCTACCTGCCCACACACAAACGCGTACACACAGACACAGACACACACACACACACAGAGACACACACACACACACAGAGACACACACACACACACACACGCACACAGAGACACACACACAGAGACACACACACACACCCACACGCACACCCACACACACACACACACACACACACACACACACACACACACACACACACACACCCGCCCGCGCACACGCACACGCACACGCACACGCACA